TTCTGGCTCCCAATCTCGTTTAAGCTATGAGATGAATCTTCAGGTTCCCAATCTCATTTGAGCTATGAGATGAATCTTCTGGTTCCCAATCTCATTTGAGATATGAGATGAATCTTCTGGTTCCCAATCTCATTTCATTGATTGAGCTATGAGATGAGTCTCCCGGCTCCCAATCTCGTTTAAGCTATCAGATGAATCTTCTAGTTCCCAATCTCATTTGAGCTATGAGCGAATCTTCTGGTTCACAATCTCATTTCATTCCTTGAGCTATGAGATGAGTCTCCTGGCTCCCAATCTCGTTTAAGCTATGAGATGAATTTTCTGGTTCCCAATCTCATTTGAGCTATGAGATGAATCTTCTGGCTCCCAATCTCGTTTGAGGTATGAGATGAGCTTTTTGGCTCCCAATCTCGTTTGAGGTATGAGATGAGTTTTTTGGCTCCCAATCTCATTTCTTTTCTTTGTGAGTACTCACTTATATCCCATGGGTGAAATTCAAGGAGTTGTAGGAACTACTGGTCTCTACACTCTTCATTTTATCAAGGAATCAAGTTCAGCTTGGATTGATTTCGGCCATCATCCATTTGTTTACACTTATCAATTGATCGAGGTTTTATATCATCACTCGTTAAAACATTCAGTAGCTACTGAGTAGGAAAGTTTATCATCGATGATCATTTCATCCCAATACCACATCTCGTTCATGCTTGAATAACTAACCGAGGTTTTACTATTCACGGGAATGGATATTAATGTCGAGGCGTCCCCCGACTTCGTCTGCAGGACGAATCCATAGTCCGAAATTATTTTATGAGATGGATCAGGTGGGATCCCATTTATACTAGTGCTAAACGGATTCAATTATTCGGCATTCATCCACTTCCTGGGGTGAGAATCATTTGGTCCCATTGCGCTCCCCCTCTCATAGGAAGGGAGCCAAGACTAGTTAGCATGGATTGATGGTCTACCCGTAATTGTCCTTCTAGGACATCTATCCTTGCAGGCTTATTTATGATCTCGTCACTTTTTCAAACCATAGAATGAGTCTGGCATTATTCGCCATACACGACTTCACGCTGTTCTTCAGGAACATTAGTGTTGACATTCTTTGCAGATTTAGTAGTCGCCCCACACGACTTCACGCCGTTCTTCAGGAACGTTAGTGTGGATGATCTATTAATCTATATATCAATTCTCTGTAAGAGATCTTGATGAGACACGGTGGGGTCGTCTCACACGACTTCACGCCGTTCTTTAGACGTTCTTTCCTCCCCCTAACGGCGGGAAGACAATCTCATCAAAGTGACAGTCCGCAATTTGAGCGGGTAAGAGATCGCTTGTCTAAGGTTCTAAATTTAAGTTATAGATGGTGATACATATTTCACATATATCTTCTTGGATTTCTTCCAAAAAATATTGAATCATTTCATGTATGTGCATATGCTGACATATAATCAAATTACAAGCAATCGACAATTTATGCTTCTGGCATTCAAATTGTGGTTCTACATAACCGTGTCGAAAAATTCCTCTAATTTTCCCAATGTACACTTCTGGTCGTACATGTTAGAGATGATGCACATATATTCGATTTCTTGGCTTCAATGATTTAAACATAATAAACATTAGCTCAAATATCTTTAAAGTTTAATAACGTTCTACTGGAACGTAGAGGAAAAATAACTACTTTAATGGCAAAAGTTGTGCCATGTGATAACATAATGTGGACATTACCATAACCATCTATCAAAACTACATCGGCCTCATTTAGTTATCAAAGAGGTCTTTGCTACTACTAGACATGAAATTAATAAAAATACGACTTATCACTAAGGATAGTATGTGTAGTCGCACTATCTGCCAGACATTTATCCCCACATGTCATGTCTAGAGCGTTATATATTCTAATCACATATTTTCAGTACTTCAGGTACTAAATAAATTCATCAAGCAAACACCACTGAATAACATAATAATTAACTTAGAACACATAGTGACATAAATATATGATCCAGAGCATGAACTAAACATAATCAAAATACGAATATGGTTCATAACATGAGCATATGAAGTAAGATGATTGGAATTCAATAAAATAATAAACCCGAGTAATAAAATAAACATAATGCATGAAATCAACAGTTCAATCATATCCCAACAAGGGTTATTTGGTCAGATGTGCCCAAGTATGGAGGCTGAGTGACGGGCTATACATAGAAAATATTTGCCTCTACCAACTCAGTCTATGTTGGTGCATTATTATTTGCATCTCCAGCCCCAACGTTCCTCGCATTTCAGGTGCGCGACCAATTCTTAGATCCACTATATATAAAACATATATTTATGTTCTGATTTTGAGCTCTATTCGGATTTTAAAGTTCATATACAAATCGTTTATGAACATTTGCTCCTTGCTTCAGGCAAGCGTATTGTCTTTTGGTAATCAAGACGACTAGTGAGGTTATCCCATTCTTTATGGGGACCCTTGTTTGATGAATAGTCCAAACGAAGGACTTCATCTAATTAGCTCGTAATCAGAAACATAGTCTCAGCCTTCTGGGCTTTACCAAATAAATTATACTCGAAAACAACCATTCTCAATTGCTCACTAAGCTTATGGATCTTAACATCCATTCTCCAACCAACAAAACTTTCACCAAATACATTAAGTTGGGTAAACTCGAGTTTGCTCATGTGTTTCATCTCAAATCAAATAGAATAAGGAGTATTATTGTTTTATGGGGATGTAACATCCATAAAACAGTTTCATTAATATTTCCATTTATTAGAACTTCTGGTCTAACAATTCATATAATGCATGTTTGTACATATTTATGTATTCATTATTCACGACTTGCATTAGACAAAGAATATAAAATAACCAAATATTACTTACCATACTTATGTCATAAAACTACATATGACAAATAAACTATGCGTCAATCGAGAATTCTGAATTAGAGATTGACCAAAGTCTTCATGCAATCAAGACAGTGTAAATTTGCCAAACATTAAAGACATATAGCATGCTCTAATATTGGTATAAAAGATAACCAAAACCGTATAACTTGTCATGATATAAATCATAATTATCATGTATATATATCTCATACAAATTCCACGAACTAATTTGAAATGACTGAGATAGTTAATTACCAATTACCTAAACATATCCATAATGTAAAATTCATACAATCACATCGGGCACAAGTGATAATACGTTAAGAGCATGAGACAAAAGAATATATACCAGATTTCATCACTTTGAATCTCAAACATTGAATCATCACATATAGCAAAATACATAGAATCATATAGCATGAGTGAGACGGGAAAATTCGTGACAATATTTCATACTTGAACATCCAATACTTTTGCCCGATAACAAGAAATCATTTCAAATGCTCAGAGCAATTATTATATGAAATATGAAGGCATTTTAATCATACTATTCACAGAATAAGGACTACCAACCAGGTCATATTTTCAAATCATCCACGGCATAAATGAAGTAATGACTTGAACATAAAGTTTATTCATATATTTCATGCCATTAAATAGATCTATCATGCATCTCTTACGAAATCAAAATTTCAAGGAGATTAAAGTTTATTTGAAACACTTAAATCCAAATATTACGAAGAATATAATATATTTTTTCGAGATTACCGTTTCACATATAAACCTGGGTCACAAGTTCTGCAAATAACCTTGTCCCATGAACAATTACCTTTCCACGAGCACCTCGAATTCTTCAAGTATCCTCGCCCCATAAACAATTGTCTTTCCACAATAACAACGAGCACTTCGTGCTGATAACGTGTTGTAAAATGGCCTATTTATCTAGCTCTTTGGTTTGTGTTTGTGGAAATACATAAGAATGTAAATAACAAGACAAAGAGAGAAAGAGAGAATGCAAATAAAAAAAATCCGTAGAGAGAAAATTGTGGGATACGTGGGGAGGGAGTGTTTCTCATTTATATAGGTGGTAGCCACCGGGAAGTTACAAAGGAGTTACATGTGGAAGTTACGTAGAAGTTACATCGCCACTAACACCATATATAGATATGGGAAGTTAATAAACTAGTGGGAAGTTGAAAACCATCAAGTGGTTATGTTAGGAAACCACACATTCCATACTATTTACAACATTTTTTATGTTTTTTTTTATTTATTTGTTATTATTTGTGTACTATAGCCCCCAAATTTTTATTTAGCCCCCATCCAAGTAGAGTCTGGGTCCGCCCCTGATTTTCACTAATAATGATGATGACAATCTTTTTTTATTTCCAAATTAATTTAGGTGGTGTTTGCAAAAACTTTTTGAAAGTGATTATGAGATTTTTCTTGCTCATCAACTTTTGTTTTTGCTTTTCTTAAAATAATCTGCTTTAAGCTATTTCTGTAAAAGCACCCATAACCCTGCCTTTTCTATTTAAGTTCATTTTCTGAAATATTTGCAAACACCCCCAACTTTTAAAATTAAACACTTAAATTAAAACTGACTTAATTCACAATCACTAACTTTTGCTTTTAAATAATCATTTACAGACACCACCTTAATTGTATATTCTTCGGTTTCCAACGAGTATTTTCACGGTTCTCTAAATTAAAACAAGCTGATCAGGTAAAATGAGGGTCTGACTAATTAACTGGTGTTCTGAGATCCTATATTTATACGTAGAACCACTATATTATTATATTGTCAATAATTATTAAATTTACGTCTGACTAATTAGTAATTTCCTGAAAATGAAATGGATATATATAACATACTGCAATCAATGTAAAATCATACTTAAGTTAACAACTCTTGAACTTATTCTTACATAACATCTTCCACTTTGATGGAAACAAAAAGAAATTAATTACCAGAACCTTAATTAATAAATCAAATAATCAACCTCAACGTACAATGAAAATGTAATGAAAAGTATAGTCACGCATGCAAGAACTCAATCTTATCACCATATGTATGATATTAATTAATTAATGAATAATCAGTTGACGAGGCGGCAGTTTTCTCGGATCTCGCCTTGCAGGGTGCCGGTGAGCACGTCAATCTTTCCCATTTTGACCATTGCAGCAGCAAACTTCTTAGCCCACGCAGGACTGTTTTGAGCATTTTTCAACACAATTTTGGAGGTCAAAGTGCTTGTCATAAGTACCTGATCCGACGTTAGAAGTCCCTTTTTCTGCTTCAACAGCTCGTAGTACAGATTGTCCAAACGTTTCGGGGTTATGGTATCCTGATTCACCGTAGGGTTCACACTTGGTGGACCTGTGGCATTAGCAACGGGGGCCGGGCAGATATTTCTCAAGAAAACGGCGTAGTTAGGGTCTAGAGTGGGGTCCACGGTCGGGTATAGACGTCCGTTGAAGGAGGTGCAGTGAGCAATTCCAATGGAGTGAGCCCCTGAGAGTGTAACCATCTCGTCGAGTGTGAGACCCTTTCTTGCAAAATTGTCCCTGAGTTGAGTGGCGTTGAAGAAAGGTGGGGGAAGATTGAGAAGTGGGTCCAATGTGTTGGACTCGTTTCCATCACGGCGTCCTGCGGGTACTTCGTAGAATATGTCACCAACTCTCCATGCGCTGTCTCTTGCGGCAAATGCGAGGATGTCGGCACATGAAACGATTCCAGGGCATCGAATCTCCAATTCAGCTTTTGCTGCGTCGATTATCTCGAAACCTCTTAAACTTCCCCGGTTTGGTATACTTTGTTTTTCCGAGTTTGCTCCATCCAACAACACAGAAGCATCACATCCCTGTAAAAGTAAAATGAGTATATATGTACGTAGAACAAAAGCAATTAATTATTAGCCGATATAGTAGTGTTAATACTCAATTAGGTCATCAACATGAATATATATATATAGCTAGTGGGGGTGTATGTATATATATACGATTACGATGATGACATGCATATTATATATAATAAATATGTACAATAACGAACGCTCATTACCCTGACGAAGCAGTCGTGGAAATGAAGCCTGATAAGGCCGGCGGCAAATCCAGGGTTGCGGAAGACGAATTTGTTGACGTATTTTTGGACAATGGCTTCTGCGGGTGGGCATGATTTTCTGTAGAAGCCCACTTTGAGGCCGGTGGTTGAATTAGCCGCAGAAGAAACCGAAACAAGCAAAACCAAGCAAGACAAGAACAATAATGCAATGACTGCCAATTTGGTGGAAGCCATTGTTGTATTAATGTTAAGTGCAAAGTTAAATTGGATGTGGATGCCATGGATGGATAATTTAGGGGATTATTTATAGAACGCTTTGTTCAGGTGGAATTGTTAAATATAGGACGTGTGTACATGTCACGAACTTGTAATTTAATAAAGTAATAAAATATTATTGATGATGAATTATTCATTTATACAGGATCTCCATTTTCCCTACCTAGAATATGCATGATAATTAATACATATTATATATGTATCACTAATACTAATTTGATATTCTCTTCAATTCGTAGTAAGGTAGGTAGACATGATCGATCATAAAGGAATATTCTTGTGATTAAGGTGTTGCGTGGTTAATCCCGTTGAACTGTCAAAGATTATTAATCAACAAAATTAAT